GGGCGCGGCCAAACAGGCCCTGCCAGCCATCTGCGAGCGATATCAGGCCGTTAAATCGAGCAGCGGCTCGCAGAGCGGCCGCATTGGGACCCGGCCGGGCCGGACCCCGAGCTGGCCAGCCGCAAGGAGTAAAGGGCTTGTAAAACCTATAAATCATATCAGCGAGGGAGAGGGAGAGGCCGTGGCTTTAGCTGACATAACTGGACTGATGGGATGGGCCTTGCTATCTGCACCGCAGCAGCCACAGGCCGGCCAAACGAGGGGAAGCGTTGGAACGCGAGCAAAAACGCAACGACGCACGAGTGACGCAGTTACTACTACTGGTCCCTCCACTCACAGGCCATAAGTCACCTCCACTCGCGCGCCGTGTCCGTCGGCCGCTCCACCTGAGAGTCGGCTTCATTTCGCGCAGCACTCTGCACAGAACTAAATAACTTTCGGCCATAAAAACAATAAAAAGCCCGCGCTCCGTACACACATTTGTCCGCGTCTCTCTCCCCACTCTAGCAGGCTGTCCTGTCGGTCCATCGCGCACCGCGCCGGGCTGTCCTTGTGTCCCGCGCGGCCTCGCGCGGCCCGTCACCTGTTAGCGGCAGAGAATTATTAATCTGACCAACCGGCGACGACGGGCGGCGCCGCGGCGAACCGCGTAGGCCACGAGAGCCTTGTCGGGCCGGCCAGCGCCGCCCGCCCCCGGAACGGGGAGGGGGTGAGAGCCGGGAACACGCGTCAGAATTAACTAAGAGATCAATTAATCCTCCCCGACTTATGGCTGAAACAGCAGCGCTAAGGATAGGCCGGAAGCGCGGGAGAGGCGGCCGCGATCTTTATCGCCAAGACTTTGTATTCTGCATTTCTCCCTAAAACGGCTCGGCCGCGCCGCTTCAGTCGCTGCATGGCTTATCCTGGGAAGCGTCTCACATGAAGAGGAGAGGAGGTTAACGAGGCCTGCGGGCCTGGCTCGCGCTGCGGCCTGCCAGCGTCCCACCCACCCGCAGCGACCAGCTCTCCCACAATTCAAAGAAGAGACAATGACAATCCACTCGCGTCTTCTCTTTTGCTCGAACCTCGTTCTCGGCGGGAAAGGGCGAGGCAACGAGCTGTGTACCCGTCAGCAGGTCAGAGCGGGTTATTCAGAGCAACGCTGCGCTCCAGGGCCAGCCTAGCGGCAGGATGCCCTGCACCCTCGGAGCACTCCATACGACACCCTGCCGCGCAGCCCGGCCCCGCCCGGCGTCGTCGGGTCCTCGGCGTCCACATTCCTCAGGGCCTACCCTGCCCTGCCCACCCCACCCGGCCCATTCCGGTTCTAGCGCGGGGGCAGCCCGGCCCGGCCCAGGACAGGTGGTTCCGGGTCATCTCACCGTCGGAGAGCAGCGCGGCCTGCGCGGCCTGCGCCGGCGAAGTGGGACGGTCCAGCGTGGCGGCAGCAGCCCGCCGCACCTGCGGAGCCTGCGGCCCAGGCTCCACGGCATCGACGTGGAGATCGGAGCCGTTCGATAACTTGGGAGCGGCAACGTCGTCGGCGACTTCTTGGACGGCTTGAGCGCTGGCTTGAGTTTGGACGGCAACGGGCTCCAGGACGCCGCCGAGAGCGTGTGCCAATTTTTGGTGCACCTGAGCAGCCGGGTGCTGCAGCCCGGAGGACGGAAGCTGGGGATGGGCCACTTGGACGGCGCCATTGCGCACTTCGACGTGCACAGCAGCCTGAGCCGGGGCAGCCGGCGCCCTGGGCAGCGTCGTGGACGGCACCCTAGGTAAGGCATCGGACGGCGCCCTGGGAAGAGTCGTTGAGGGCACCTTAGGGAGGGCATCGTTCGGCGCCCTGGGAAGAGTCGTTGAGGGCACCTTAGGGAGGGCATCGTTCGGCGCCCTGGGAAGTGTCGTTGAGGGCACCTTGGGAGGCAGGGCATCGGTCGGCGCCCTGGGAAGAGTCGTGGACGGCGCCCTGGACAGGGCCTCGGCGGGGATCCGGGGCACGTCGACATGCTGCGCGGCAACGTGCCGGCGGCCGGAGCGCAGGTCCCTCAGCGAGGACCACACGGGGTTCCGGCGGTGGAACTTGCCGCGGTGCACGTCCTCAGAGGAGCCGCCCAGCACGTCCTGCCGAGGCACGCCAGCCTCCCCGTAGTACCACTCATTGCGCCGGTTGCGCCGCTTGATGGCCTCCTGCGCCGCGTTGGCGGCCTTCTTGAGCTCCTTGGCGGAGGGCCCGTCCTTGTGCAGGCTCGTGTTGCTGCTGAAGAAGGCGGCGATCTTGCCCAGCGGACCCATGGCGGCGGCGCCATACGAGCATCACCCTCCAAAACACACAACACACACACACACCACACCCGGCACGGCCGGCACGCGAGGAGGCTCACTCACACACACGCGCGCACTCGCGCTGCGGAGCGCCGCGGCAGACTGACTGACTGCACCGCGGAGCTGTGCCACTGGCTCCCGGCCCCGCCGGCCCCCCGCCACCGCCGCACCGCGCCGCGCAGGTTTGCAGAGCCGTGTAGGTGCCTGGACGGCCGGGCCTCCTCGGGCCGGGCCCAGCTCGCCAGGGCCTAACTTTCTATACGCCGGTGCCGCGGCGCTGCTACCTGGGCGCGGCTCGCCACGGCGCGGCCGGCGTGCCGACGGCGACGTCCGGTCC